ACTACACTCATGAAATAACAAAGGTCTTAGCTCAGATTCCCTAGTTAAGTATAAATTTCACTACACTCATGAAATAACAAAGGTCTTAGCTCAGATTCCCTAGTTATCAGGAATTCCAGAACTATCTACTTCCCAATCTCTTCTACCAATATTTTTCATCTTAGCCTTCCTCTGAATAATACCTTCTCCTTCTAGTTCTCCTCCCTGACCTCCATTTTCCTCCCCCAGTCCGTAATTCTCAGAAGATTCCTTGACCAGCACATCCAGATTGTTTGCTTGCTCTCTACAAAAAAGGATCAACTGTAGGTTCCAGACATCAAAGTTCTCAGCAAACTACAAACTATAAAGAGTAATATGGAGATAAAAGGCCCAGGAAATAAAATTTGGAAGAGAGAAGCATATAAAAGTTCTCATTTATAAGAAAATGGTAAAAGAGGAAAGAAAAGGAGAGAGGGTTGACACGGATAAGAAATCCACACTGATTTCTCTAAGCATTTGCATAATGTACTTGCAAAACATGGATTATAACATTTCAGCCACACATAAGGTGAATCAATAACTGATATTAGACCCATTTTTAAAGTAATGGCACATTTCAAAGGGAAAGAGAAGCCCCAAATGCCGTGGTCAGGTGCCAAGTCCTGCCCTCAATACATATCACTATCCATTCACATCCTTGTTCTGTTTTAGCAGGTCACTGTGCATTCTAAAATGCACTCTAAAGCAGACTGGATCTGGGATGAGGTGAGTTCTCAGAAAACTGGGGTCTTGGTACTGTAAACCTGAGCAGTCAGGGTTCCAACACAGTCCAAGGCTGCTTTCCAGTCCAGGCTAGTGGGGGATAACACAGTTATAAACAGTAAAAGATAAAAGTCTCCAACACTTTTTCAGGGTCAGAAATGATCCCTATAGTCCTGCTTTATTGGAGGCAGAAATTGAACAAAAAAGAGTGCCTTCTACCCCTGGGACTCCATTATTTTCCCATGAAGCCCTGTGCCACACAAAGGATTGTTATTATGAATAACATGGTCACATCTATGCCAAATTTGTAAACATTATGTAATGAAGATAAAAGCTCTAATTTTTAAAATCTCATTTTATTGGGGATATAATTTTCTCTTTGTTGCAATACAACATAAAGACAACTGGTTTATTTCTAAAGCATTTAAACCATTGAAAATGGTTTAAAATTACAATAATGCAAGTAGGCTTTATAAGTATACAAGAAGGTGGTGAGTGAGGGAATGGAAAGAAGAAATCTGTGGCTTATAGTTAGACTCCTTCTGGAAACTACATATAAAAACTTGATCAACTAAATAACTTTATTAATTCAGTCAATGAACAGAAATCACATAACTCCTTAGTGCAAACTGCCACATCACAATTACTAAATTATTCTAAGCTCATGAAATATCTCTAGAATGTTCCATATGCCTTCCCAACAGCTATTACTAAATGCTTTGGCCACTTACTTGCCAATATTCCTTACAGACATTCTTTCACCTCTGATGAGGTACAGACTAATAACAAGAAACTGTGTGCACTCAACAATTATGCACAGATTAATGTTACTAACCTGTATGTGAACTTCTAAAAATAAGGTGTACAGTTTTTTGAGATCCACATATAGTTAACACCTGGTACAATGCGCCAACCACTGTAATAAGCATGTTACATATAATAATCCTCAAAACAAGTTTATGAAGTGAATACAAAAGGAAGAACACTGGGAACAAGAGAGTTCACTTAACCATTACTCAGCAAATATGAATTTTTATCTAAAATATCCACATGCAGCCAGAAGAATGGTTAAACATGCAAAAAAAAACAAAAATAAGTTTACTACAATATTTTTTCATATATAATAATACTGGCTCCCCATCAACAGAAGACAAATTCTGTTCTCCTTTCTGATTCATGTACCCCAAATTAATTCAAATTTTATTTGCTAGTCAAGTTCAAAAGGAAGAATGAATTAAAACCTTTCTTTTAGACTAGGTATAGCTAACTTGTTGGCCTTGACACCCAGATGCAGTGTGCTCAATTAGGCCACAAAATCTAAATGGCTAATGGATTCATACCACCATTCTACATAGGAACTTACTGGATTTTTAAAAACTTTTATTACCATTAACCAGACAGTTTCCAAAACAGCTAAAAAGGAAAAGTAAAATAGGGGAAAGGTCAAAAGCTGCAAAGTATAGTATTAGTTTTTCTATTTGAAGAAAGGCTGAAGAACCCATACAGGGACTGGACCCTCCTAGAAAGTGTGAAAACTTATATAATACACAGAGACTTAACAAACCAACTAAAGTTATATGAGATTCTGTGAGAAATGGTAAATTACAGGATAGACAAAAAGCACTATTGTGTTTTTATTGTAGCCCATACGAGGGCTTGAACATCCACAAGATTATATCTTATAGAGAACTATTTAGAAAATGCCAAAATAGAGATAAAAATAATGTTGCTCTTATGCTACCTAATAAAAATAAATTTATAAGCTATAATTGGCATAATGGCTATTTGCTTTAGGAAAGAAAAACTGAGAAAGATAAGTACACATTACCTTCAGGTTAATTTTTGTAGACCCCCATCAGTTTTCACTTGATTTTATGACACTAGCATTCTACTGGTATTCTGCTTCCAACTCTCCAGCTCAACTTTTGCATTGTCATTAATCACATGTAAGTATAAAAAACCTTCAACTGTTTGGTTCCTCATTACTCACAGGATAAAGGCCAAACTCCTTAGGATTGCATATCTACCCTGTCCCTTTTCCAGCTATTCTCCCAAATGTGTCATTCATGTGCAGGTGGTGCTCCCTTTACAATCTCCATCCTGTCCCCCACCAGCCCTCACATACCTCAGTCTCTGTCGTTGGTCAAAGCCCAAACCCACCCCATGTGTCTCAGTGCCTGCAGGTGCAGACCTCACTTCCTTAAAATGCAATGCAGTTTCAGGCCTGTGTCCTTGTCTAGACACCCCATCTAGCCAGAATGCCCTTCCCTTCCTTTCCCTGCTTCATTAATTCATCCTGTAGGGCTCTGTCTTAAATCTTCTGGGATGCTTTCCTGATACCTTCATCCTTGGATGGGTCCGGGTCTTTGTATACTACACTCTATTCTCCCACTAGACTAATGAATGAATGGTTTCATCACTTTCTAGCTGAGTGACCTTGGACAAGTTCATTAATTTCGCTGAACCCATTTCTTCATGTCTATAATGATACTATTAATTTGCTATCACTGTAAAATAATGTCAAAAGCCACTTTGTAAAGACTGATGCACCATGCAAGCATTAACAATTTTATCAAAAACCAAGAGAGCACACAGTATTATTGGTGAATATACTTCAGTTAAATCTAAGAGTAAGAGTCATCTCTTGGTTTCTGTCCCCTCTCCAAGGATGCCCTGTATTTTTATCCAACTTTCTGGCTCCACTAAGTCTTGGTACTTCTTTCCTAAGGGAAAAAAAAAAGTCTATAGTGTTGCTTAAGTCATTTGAAGGAAACACCGAATGGGAAGCCCTGAAAGCGTTTTCCATCTTTCTTAATGCCTTCACAAGAGTACCATTATGCATATACAAATGCTCTGAATATGAAAGAACTGAATAAACAAACATACCCTGTCTTTAGTAAGTTTATAGTCTAAAAAAGCGAATGATGTAACAGATCTCACTCAATCTGACCTTATAAAAATGGTAATGAATGCCTTTAGTATCATCTTAAGGTGCAGTAAGAAATTTAATTTCCTGCTATGATTATTTAGTGATTCAACACACTTTGGAATTGCTATCTTAGTAAGTCAGGCTTAACACATGAATGTTTTAACCTTGTAAGAATCACTGATGCAACTGAATACCTAGTTATTGAATATCCACTGCACTAGGCCCTATCAGAGTACAAAGATAAAGGCGATGGACTCTGCCGATGATAAGGTGCTAAACATACAGAAAGGAAGCTGTCATCAATCCATCTAATTAATAGAAAGCAGAGTGTTGTACGGAGGATCTAAGGATTGTGACAATCAATGAAGACATCTGAGTTAGGGTATTGGGTCCATGAAAATTAAAAGCATATATTACAAATTATAATACTGGTGGTCAGTAACTTCTGTGACTACTGAGTATCTGCTATATATTACATACGTAATATTTGCTGCATGCACTGGCATATATTTATGATCGTCTTCCTCCTAATTTAACTATAAACCCATCTGTGTTTTTGTCTAATAAATACTGTTAACACTCGTATCATGCATAAGTACCAAGCATAGTTCCAAGCCCTTCAGGTATATTTTCTCATTTACTTTCAACACAATCCTGTGAGGTAGGTACAATTTCTCTCTTCTCTTTTACAGATGAAGAAGACGAGACATAGAAACGGTAATTTTTCAAGGTTAAGATGCAAAGACAAAAATAAGTAAATGGGGACGTAAGGGAACCCAGTATTCCATCAAGGGAGTGGATCCACTAACCAGAGCTGCTTCACGCAGTTCTTTTCACCTCTCCCAACACAGCCAGTGGGAATCTTTTCTTTTCCTGAGTCCATAACTAAGCTGTTGATTCTCGGGCAGATCCTCTCAAACCTTCCTACTCCAGAAGACTTGCCGCTATTTAAATCATAGGCTGTTCAGGGTAAACGAAGACCGAATCAGATCCTCAGGTGGACAAAGCTGGTACGATCACGAAATTAAACCTTCGGGCTGCGGATCTGTTCCTGGATCATTTTCAGGGGATGGTAGCAGCACCCGGCTCACCCAGGAGGCGCTACCCCCGGCGGTATCCAGTCCTCCTGACCCAGGCAGCTTGGGTTTTGCCATCTGCTAGTTTACCCTTTACCTGCCGACGCTCCCTGCACAATCTCCATCCTGCTCCCGGCCACACGCCAGGCCTCACGCGCCTCCCTCTTCGCGGCAACCCAGTCCCAAACCCATACCAGTGCGCATCGCCCCTGCAGGGGCAGCTCATCCCGCCCAAACCCCTGCCCACTACTCACGGTTCCAGTACACCGGGTAACACTCTCCTTGGGTCACATCCACCTCGTAGAGGCCGCCCCGCACGCACACAGGCTCGATGTTCACCAGCTCCACCATCTCGGGCTCGTGCCCCGCCGTGCGCTGGCAGAAGCCGCAGGCGCGGTCCTCATCGTCGTCTTCTCCGGAACTGGAGGCCCGCCCCGCGGGGGAACATACATGGTCACCGTCCCGGTCCTCGTCTTGATGCCGGGCACCCGTGACCTGCAGCAGGGTCCGGAAGGCGAGCTCGATGCGGAGCGAGTCGTAGCCGATGAAGGGCTTCCAGGTCTTCTTATCTTCCTTGTAGAACCAGCGCACCTCCTCCGGGCCCAGCTCCGTCACGACCTCGTAGCGGTGCCGGGCCGCCTGGCTACCTAGCCGGGTACGTTTCCTCTCCCCGACGCCCCCTCCTGCCGCCCCGCCGCCCCCAGAGTTCGTCGGGACCAGCAGAGGCTGCTGTGGCGGGTGCAGCGACAAGGAGCTGCTGCCGCCGCCGCCGCTCTCGCCCTCGCTGTAGTAGCGCAGCGAGGAGCCCGATTCAGCGGAGCTGAAGTCATAGTTCTCGTCACTGAGGCAGGGGTCCAGCGCCAGGTGGTGGTTGTGGTCCTCAGTGCCCGGCGCCAAATGCAGCCCGGGCTCTCCGCGCAGCAGGGCCAGGGGCACGTCGCCGTCGCCCGGGTCCTCGCCGGGCAGGTGCTCGAAGCAGCAGACGCCGCCGCCGAACGCCTGCCCCGCGTCAGAGCCAAGCTCCCAGGCGCCGCCGCCGCCTCGGCCGTTATGCTCTGGGCTCCGCGGGGATCCGCGGCCCGGGTAATTCATGCTATGGAGACGCCGCCAGTCAGCCGGCGGCGCGCGGAGCCTTGACCCCCAATGCTTCCGCGCACATTCAACGCCACCTTCCTCTCCACCTGGAGTTTTTTAATCTTTCAAACGCCGACCCGTGCTGCGGCGGCAGCGGCGGCCGCTCCGCCCCCACGAGACCCGCGGCCGCCGCAGCTGCGTTCTGCGGCCCACCCCATTGTCACGCAGCTCGACGTAGGCGGTGCTTCGGCCCCGGCCCCGCCCCCCGGCCGCGCGCGCCGCCCCGGAAGACTGGGCTGCACCAGCGCCGCGCGGGCCGCGCCCCCTGCCCTTCTGGCTGCGAGTGCCGGCTTGCCTCTGGTCGCCCGCCACTCTTGGGCCTCCTCTGCTAGCTTCCCCCTTCCCTGCGGTTTTCATGCACAGCTGCCTCAGCCCCACTCCTGTGGAGTTCACAGTCCAGATGTGGATAGGCTTTACCCTATTCATCCATACAATTTGGATCATGAGCCCAGAGCCTTAAGCTACGTGTCAAGAGGACCCCGGGATATTGGATTCAGCATTGCTTTTTTTGACCTTACACCCTCCTGAGGCTTGCCTGGACGTTCTGTCACCTGACCCTGGTGGCTCCAGACAGAACCAGGACGTTTAGGTGTGGGATGGATACGAGGCACTCCCACTCCCTTCATATGCCATTTCATATTATTGCTTATCTTCTAATACTTCTGATACTTAGATTTTCTGTTTTCTCAACCTCATTGCAAGGCCCAGGTTGAGAAAACAGAAACCAAGTCTGTATGTCAGCCTCTCCCACACAGCTCGGAATCAGTGTTAGTTGATTTTAATGATGTCAAGTCCAGCCAGCTGTGGTAAAGAGTATCAGATTGAGAGCGAGAAAACAACCAGCTTCTAGATTTAGCTTTGCTAACAAGCCACAGGCAAATCACGTATCTCCCTGATCTTTTTGGCTTCCTCATCTGTAAAATAAAGATTCTTAGAACAGATGTTATCTAAAGTTCCTTACGGCGATAGAATTCTATGAACTTTAAGGTTTCTTCCAGATTTTTGTGCATTTCTGATTCTGTAACTCATATTCTGGGATCAGGTTGAATACAGAGGCTCACTTATGTGGGTCTTTTATATATATATACGTGTGTGTGTGTCTTGGAGTTCATGGCTTGTCAAGTAGAATACAGGCTGGATTTTCTGCCCCAATTAGTGCCCTTGGCTGGTTAACCTTGTGCAGTGAACAACCTATCCAACTGTATACTGCAGCTCTGACTGAAAGCATCTAAGATCAGAACCCTCTTTACCACTCAGAAAAATTTTCTGCGTAGCTGCTTCCAGTTGCTCCTCCAATATTTCTATTGACAATATGCAGAATATGATATCGGGTATGAACTTTGGTTTATTTACTAGCTGTAAAAGTATTCATTCTACAGTGTTTGAATAGGTGCCTGGCCACCTATATGTCAGGCACCTTTATGCTAACTTCTACTATAAAAGAGAATGAGAGAGTGAGTTCTTTCTTCAAGGAACTTATAGCCTAGAGGGAGATATAGACAAGTAAACAGATCCGTTATAGTACGGTATGAAAATACTATAAAGGGGATTATAAATAGGGAATATCACAACATTTAAAATACCTCTATTCCTCTATGTTTCTTGATAGAATGTAGCCTAACTATATAGCTATCTGGTCAGATTATTTTGGCCAAATTTTAACTCTTAACTACACAAATTCCATGAACACTTTCCTCTGTTTTTTTAAAAAATGTACTTTCTGATTTGCGTTGAATGAATGTTTCCATTATATTTAAGTGTTGTGCTTATTTGGTTATTTTGAGAAGATTATCCTCTTGTGATTCAGTAGGGGAATGCCACACTCTTTTGAGTAGAGTGATCATTTTTAAAGGAAATGTTGATTCTTAACCCAATCCAGGTGGCAGAAGAAGGGAATCCTTGATTCTGGGCTGACCTCATTATCTTGGCCTAAAGTCAGGGGTGTCTAATTTTTTGGCTTCCCTAGTACACACTGGAAGAAGAATTGTCTTGGGTTACACATAAAATACACTATCACTAATGATAGCTGATGAGCTTAAAAAAAATCATGAAGAAAATCTCAGCGTTTTAGGAATGTTTATGAATTTGTGTTGGGCCACATTCAAAGCCACATATGGCCCGTGAGTTGCGGGTTGGACGAGCTTGTTCTAGACCTTGTTGAGAGGAGATGTCAAACAACCTTTGTGGGCTGAGATTGCTTCTGCCCCTTGGAAGTGATCTGGGGCTATGGCAGACCCATATGCTGGGTCCCAGGCTGACAGTCCTCAGAACATATTTGAAAGCACAATATCTAAATTCATGTGACTCCATGTGTTTATTTTCTTTTTATTCCCTAGCCATATCAAGGCAAAGGTCATGACATTGTTTTTTCTCAATTTTTCTGCTTTAAAAAGTCATGCTTTATCTAATGCTTCCTGTTCTGACTCTCCCTTTGCTTTCTAGAGCATCTTTTCAGGTCATAGGATCCTTACCAGAGGGAGATGGGTTGGGGCATCTATTCTAGTCCCTACCTGCCGGAATAGATGTCAGGTGGCTCCTCACGACTCTACATCATTAGTGTGTACAATAGACACAGCAGTATCTGAACTTCCATAGCTCTATGTAAAGCACTCCATTGCATTTTAATAATTTCCAAAGACCAAGCCTTTTTTATGTAAGGCAAATAAATGTGATTGATTCAGATTTCCGGAATTACTGGGCCATGCTGCTGCAAAAAACAGGTGCATGTGGAACCAAGCCTGAGGAAGTTATTGGTGAGGGAGGAAAAAAGGTAAAGCCAGTTGGTCTGTACTACAAAAGACGAAAACGGCTTGTCTGTGTATCCTACCGCCTTCCCATCCCCATTAGGCATATGGCAAGAGCTACCTGGTAACGATGGCCATTTCCTCCACACATCTCCAAAATGGCATAGTTCAATTATGTGCCGTCTTTGCGTTTTCTTCTTCCCTTAAAGTTTGTTCCTGTTGTTCATTTTATTATTTTAGATACAGGGTCTTGCTATTGCCCAGGTGAAGTATAGTGGCCCAATCATAGCTCACTGCAGCCTCGAACTCCTGGCCTCAAGTAATCCTCGTGCTGCAGCTTCCCAGCACCTGTACCTGGTATTACAGGTGCAAGCCACCATGTGTTCATTTTAACCTGTTTTCACCTGTGTAACAATATTAGCGATAGCTTGATGCCAAGTAATTTATCCTGAGCCAGCTTCCCACACCTGCACTTGAAATTGCTTCATCCAGAGTATCTGATGGAAGACATCTATTTAGAATGAAAGAAAGAGGGCAGACATGACCATGTCTTCATCTGCTCTATCTCCTGTTTGATAACCATCCACCACACCTTAAATTTTATTTCACTTTTTATTTTTAGAATTACTGTTTATCCAGTTTTTAAAGATGAAAATATTTTCTTTAATGCCCTGACTAAATGAAACAACCACCTAGACCGAAGCAGGAAACATTCACTGGACATTTCAGGCACTATGCTAGGCTCTACAGTGAAGCATTCACAGTCTAGTGATGTCTATAAATAAAACCACAATGCCAACTTTTAAATTCCTATGAGGAATATAATTGTAATGCCACTATAGCTGCTTCACTACCACAGGGGTCATTCTCTCCCTAAAGACAGATCAATAGAAGAAATCAAATTACAGTCCAAAGGAAGCTAGGTAGGCAGAAATAGCATAGGGATTCATAATGAATAAAGTCATTAATCCATTTATTCATTCAACAAATATTTATTGTCTAGTGCTATTGTGAAGATGGTTTTGTTTTTATTTTTAATTGAAATCACGCTTAAAATTTACAATTATGAAATGCATTTACTTAAAGACTTGTAAGAGGCTTATCCACAAAACCATACTTACCAAAACCCTATAAAAATGTTTCCTATTCCTTTTGGAAACAAAGGTCAGTGGTGTTGAAGGCATATATTCAAATGAAAGAAAGTGTGAATCAGTACAACACTGACGCATACCATGGAGGCAGCCACAAAATCCCCATCAGCTTGTTTATATCAGAAAGATTTCACCATCTTCCTGCCCTTTCTTTTTTTTTTTTTTTTTT